GAAGAGTAAAAAAAACCTAGCCGGAGGTCGGAGATCATTCTTTCTGCCAGTTATAAACATCTACACAAAACCATTATACCCTTTTTACTCAATTTTAATGGGTTCAGGGTATAAAAAGCAAATGCAAAATTGCTATATAATAGAAAATCCAATTCATTCATACAAAGTTTTGCACAGGCAAACATAGAAGTACTGCTCTTCGTATGGTTGGTACAGCTAATCGATATGTATCGATATTCGCGAAACGGAGACAATTATCGATAAAATGAAATTAACTTGATCTGATCGGGGTATATGAGAAGTCTCTAGCTCTTATTATCTCTGAGATCCATTTGCTCTTATAAGACGGGCCTCAGCAGTTGATGCTTTTCAAGAACATATACACTTTCCGGAGTCGGAGATGCTTTTTTCTGCCTATTAAATAGTTTTGCATAAAACTATTAAAGCCTTTTTACTTATAATATATATTTTTAATAATCATACATTAATAATGTAATACGACTCAAAACTTAAAAATCGCTCGGCATTAAATAAATATAATATATGACAGCATTGTCAGCGTGCCTACCCGACTTTAGCTTAAAATAAATCGGCACGCCTAGATTCATGCTTTAAAAATTGTATTCTCAATACGAAAATAAAAACCCATGTCAGTTTTATAGCAGCCAGCCTTTGCCTAATATTTGTACGATCCACAACAACTCAACCAATATTTTAGAAGCGGTTGTTTAATCGGATAAAGTGCATTATCAATTGGAAAATACGTTGTGTTTAACCACTTCTATTATTCTTAAGCAATCTATATGAAATGTATCTGTTATTTTATAGCTCTTAAGATTGGTGTGCTTATGCAAACAGTTATAGATTTGATGACTTCAATTGGTTCAGGGATAAAACTCAGAATAACATTGACAACTAAACATCAAATGCTTTTCTCAATTGATGAATAGCAAACCGATTTGCTCCTTCGCAAAAAACTAAAAACCGTTTTACTGTCAAAAGTCAAAGACATAAATTTTGATGTTGCAATAGTTAAATTAATTTTAAATAGGTACAGAAGCAAAAGGCCCAATTTATCACAAATGAATAACAAATGAAATGCATATTCTGGCAAACAACAATAAAAACCTTCGACAGGTATATATAGCAAACAAGAAGCGATCAAAGCTATCTGGCAACTTTGTTGCAATTGTCCCGATACTGTTGAGAGCTGTTTATCGAGTCAGCGACGATATCAGTATAACTATCGATATCTGATTGGGATCGAGACATTCGCTTGCAGCCAGTGGTGGAAGAAAGACGCATGAAGTGCATTTAAGCATAAGTTCAACTTCATTATCAATGAGCACAAATATACCAATTTATATAATACAATAAACAAAATATATAACATAATATATACACATGTTCCACATAGAAGCAGATAAATGGACGGGCAGACGGAATCGACTAGTGATATGCTGATCAAGATTGTAAATTCCCAATAAGGTCGGATTTATGCGAAAATGTTGAACAGCCAAAATGAAGCATGTTCGATTTAATAGATTTCCAATGATATATAATTATTATTATTATTAGGGGGGAAGCTGCACCGCGACCTATTTTATCTATTGTGCCCCCCTTCTGAGCCTATAGCTCTTCCATCAGCCCCAACTCCCTTACGAACGTGAGGATCTTTGTTGGGTTGAGGTCTACTATGTCTTTGTAATTCTAAACATGCGCCCCTAGGATGCTGCTTCTTCTTCTATTTAAGGCGACACATTCTGCCAGGATGTGCATCGAGGATTCCTCCTCTCTTTCACAAAACCTGCAGAGATCGCTACTATATATACCCAATTTTGTCAGGTGACTCCTTAGTCTACAGTGTCCTGTCAATAGACCGGTAAGTATCCTAAGGTTGTTCTTTCCCATGGTTATAATCTGTTTAAAACGTACAAGATTATAACCACCAAGGAGGCATCTGGCTTATCGGAGTCCTACTGCCTCTGATCAGCTCTGATGCCGTCTCTGTTTCTCCTCGTTTCTAAGTTCCAGTCGTATAGTGTGTCTCCCTATCGCACACACCTCAGCCTGAAATATGCTGGTGTGCGTTCCCAGGGATTCATGCTAAAATACCCGAGGACCCACCACTCCAAGGCCGGTGCCCTGCTTCGTGAGTGATCCATCGGTGTACCATTTTATGGTGTGCGGTTTCATGGGATGGACTTCATCCAGAGTTGTCCATTCTCTTTTACTACTCATACGATCTGTGAAATTTCACTCGAATATATATTCGGCTACTATTTCGTCCCTAGGTTGCGTCAGTAGGGGTAGTTCGTTTGAAAGGAGTTGGGCATCTTTATGGCTTAGGATATGGTTGCCCCCAACTCCTTCTGCTGATATCCTGAGAAGCGTAGCTTTCTGCTTGAGCCTTATGATATGGTGGAGTGGTGTGAGCTCCATTAAGGCTTCAAGGGCCATTGTAGGGCAGGTGCGCATAGCTCCTGTCATACATACGCAGGCCATTCTTTGCAACTTTTGGAGTTGTTTCTTCACGGTGATCATCCGCGCCCTGTCACCCCATGCAACCACCCCATAGGTTAACATGGATCTTACTACCATCAGGTACAGCCATCTTAATATCTTTGGTGATGTACCCCATGATTTGCCGGCAATACTACGACATGTATAAAGCGCCCTGGAGCACTTTAATATCGTGTTTTGCACATGGGTGCCAAAGTTAAGTCTGCTGTCAAAAGTGACTCCCAGGTATTTGACCTCCCTACTTGTTTCTAGTATGGTCCCTGAGAGCCATATTTGTCTCATCCTCTGTAACTTATGTCGTCTGGTAAAGGGGACGATGACTGTTTTCGTAGGGTTTAGGTTGAGTCCAACCTCCCTACACCAGTCATACGTTATCCTTATCCCTGACTGGACTATGTCACAGAGTGATTCTTCAAATTTGCCTCGCGCTATGATAACAATGTCATCGGCATAACCTTGACATTGAATACCACTGTTGGCAAGTCTGTTTAGTAGTTCGTCTACTAACAGACTCCAGAGTAGCGGAGACAACACCCCCCCTTGGGGACAGCCTTTGGTGGTTAGGACTGTTACAGTGATATATAATAAATGTGGACATTTTAATGATCAAGTGCAATACATATATATATATATATGTATTTCTATATATAATATATACAATTGATTGGGGGATCTGTGTGTGTATTCTTTCCACATATGTAAATAAATGCAAGAAATTTGCAGACGCTTGCAAATAAAACATGCGCAAAGTTAAGTGCGTGCTGGTTTTTTCAGTGACGATGAATACATTTGTATGCATAACTGGTCCAAATAATTTTAAAGAACAGATGATTAAATATTTAATAATAAAAAAAAGAGAAAAGTTGCCGGCAGCGCCGTGCCGTTCATTCAATGCCCTTGCCAAAATGTAATATGCCCAAAAAGAGTAAACGAACAATTTGATTTTCTACATTATTAAATTAGTGACAATAAAATACTATTCATTAAATAATAATTGCTAACTTTTTGATGAACTCACAGGCATCTCCAAGAACTTATTGTTAACACTTAAGACTCGATGTACTCAACTCATCGATTTGCCCGTTTGCAATATGAAGTGTTAATGCCCTCGGTTGATAAGTACGCATTCGATTATTTGCATTGTGCTGCTGATCTATCAGATGTATTAGAAAAGTGAATTATTTAATTGTTTTCATGCCACACTTGTTGGCACAGCTGTGTAAATTTAAATGCTAAGACAAAGAACTCAAATAAAATTGGCCAATTCAAAATCGCTATAAAAAGTGCTGCCGCAGAGGCAGCAAGACATTCAAACCCAACCATTCGCATCGAGATGAGAATCCAAACGGTGATCCTTGGCTGGGCCTTTTTGGCCAGTTGCCTTATTGGAAGCAGCCATGCGGCTTGCGCAGATCCAACCCAGTGCACTCCAGCAGAGTGCGCAGATCCGGCAAATGTCGCAGAGCCAACCTGCGCTACAACAACCACAGAGGCGACAACAGAGGCGACAACAGAAGCCGTAACAGAGGAGACAACGGTGGCAGAAGAGGAGGAGGAGACAACGGAGGTGCCAGAAGACGCAGACTCAACAACAATCCCTGCAGACACCTCTGACACTGATTCTTTACGACGAATGCGACGTAAAATTAGAAATTTGAAAAAAAAGCTCAGAAAGTGTCGGAGGCGGAATCGAAGGTGTCGGAGAAGGTTGCGCAGGAGGGGCGGAAACCGTGGCGGAAACAGACGTGGAAACGGGGGTCGAAACAGACGCAGGAGTGGACTCGGGAACAGGCGCGGAAACGGTGGCCGAAACAGACGCAGCAGCGGTCGTGGGAACAGACGCAGAGGAAACAGGAGATTGTTGAATACGGCGGGTTAAGGAAAGCAAACCAATGAACATATTACCATTAAAATTTCAATAAAGACCCAAAATAACTGGAATAACTAATTGTTTTTATTTTTTCTGTAATTGAGAACTAGGCTTTTCAGAACTCATTTGCTTTCAATGAGTTTCATAGAAGTTTTAAAATTTTAATAAAAACGTAACAAAAATATCAAAAGTGTGCCATAAATCGATAATCCCAAACGAATGTTCCTTTTTTTTAAGAAATATTTTTTTTGTTAAGAAATGTATTTCTGAAAAGTATAGTAGTGAAAATCCATTCGAATCTCTAAGAGTATATAAGTATATAAACTATGTAAAATGATTGTAAAATGTGACATCCGAAAAGAATAATATAAACAACAAGAAAGATCATTTTAGAGTTACATATATGTAGCACATTTGAAAACAAAACCCTGAAAATTCGAAAAATAATTGTTTTTCTGAATTTGAGAAAAATTTACGTTGAAATTAAGAAATTAAAAAATCCGGAATATTTAGAAATATACACTCAGAGTAATATGCTGAGTTACACTTGGTGAATTTCTAATCTTTTGTTTGAGTGCATTAGCTACATGATTTGATGGAGACTTACCTGTTGCAGGGTGGGCGTGGCCATCCACTGTTGAAACAAATCGGATGTGACAGAGGGACGCTTGTGCAACGTCTTGCGGCTCTCAATGTAGTCGTGGAGGCGACTCAGCGCCTCTGGCGGTGCACGTTCCGTTAGCCATTTCTCAAAGGCCTCGGGCTTCTCCTCGAACAGGCGAGCGACCTCGTCCACATCGGACTTGCTGCAACTGGCACTGGAACTTGCCACGGGACTCGAAGCGCAGGTTGCCGCAGATGGCGTCGTCTCCGTGGAGGAGACCCGTGGCAACATTTCTGCGACTGCATGTTGATTGTTGTTACTCGGCAAGTGACGCTCCAATTTGGCTTGATTGCTTGTGGTTGCTGCTGTTGTTGCAGCTACTGTTGCAGCTGTTGCTGTTGTTGTTGCAGCTACTGTTGCCGTTTGTGGGATCTTGTTGGCACCATTGGTTAGTGGTTTTGTTGACGACATTGCTAAAACTGCTGTTGCTGCCGCTCCTGTTGCTGCTGCTTCTGTTGCTGCTGCTCCTGTTGGAGCAGCTCCTGTTGTTGTCGTTGTTGTTAAGGTCGCCGGCCCAAGTGGCGCCTCAGTATTTGGTATTTCGCCGGCGCCGTCTGTTGCGGCTGACACATCGGTCATGCTTTTTTTTCGCTCAGTGTACTTGGATATATGTTTTAGCCACGTTTCGCGAGATCTTTGCAAGCATCGCAAATGTCTGGCAAACTTATTGCTGCTGCTACTGCGGCTACTTTGCTACTGCTGCGGGAACAACTGCTGCTACTCCTATTTAAATTGGTCCTACTATAGCTATTTCTACTACTCCTGATGCTACTCCTGCTGCTGACACTGCTTTTGCTGCTCCAGAAACTCCTACGGCTTCTGCTACAGCTGCAGTTACAGCTATAGCTACCGCTCCTTCTCTTGCCACTGTTACTGCTCCTGCTACTGTTGCTGCTGGTGCCACTGTGGCAGCTACAACTGCTGCTACTGTTTTTGCTTCTCCTGCTGCTGCTACTAACCGTGCTATATCTACAGTTACAGCTACAGCTACAGGTTCTGCTCCTTCTCCTTATCCTGCTACTGCTGCTGCTTCTGTTACTCTTACTGTTGCTGCTTGTGCTCCTGCTACTGCTCGTATTGCTACTCTTGCTTCTGCTACTGCTCCTGCTCTAGCTACAACTGCTGCTTTTGCTCCCACTTTTATTCCGGTTGCTTGTGCTGATTAAGTCACGTATTTGGCCACTTATGTGGTCTTTGCTCGCAAAACTTCTGGCTACCTGTTGCTCTCCTTCGTTGGTTGTCGTCCGCCCCTTTCCGTCCACCTTCAACTACTCCGGCTTTGCTTTTAATGGTCCACTGGCAGTGGTAATTGATGAGACTGACTCCAGCTCCATTTTGGATTCCCCGTGTATCATTTGCAGCAGTTGTAGCTGTTGCTGTCGCTGTTGGGTTTGTCTCATTACATTCGTGCCTAGATGTGAGTTGAGGCACGTTCGCTTCAGTTATATGGGCGGCTTTAAATAACCACTTGCCCTAATCCTTGACAGCCGTTTAACAGCAAACGCTTCTCTCTGATATGTCGCCACGTCCTGTTATCCTAATATAATTTAAGCTTGCTCCAAGTCTGTAACGAAAAAGAGCGAAAAAAACGTTTGTATAGCTACTTGAGTGCAACAAAAATATATATACATCGCATTTATCTATACTTGATTTCAACAACTCGGATTTGCATAATCCTGGTAAGACTTTAGATTTTATGATTTATATAGCATATATACATATAGAAGTTGATGGATACCTCCGAACATCTATAATAGCAATGTTATGCACATAAATCATTTCAATTCGAGAGGGTTCAAATTTTGGCATCACTAGCTTAATCAATGAGCTTGGATCTGGTGGCAGCTCTGAGAGCAGCTATGTGTAGTGAAAGAGCAAAATAAGAATGCGATGGATATAGCAGTAGCACAGACTGATATGCTCTAGCTCTGTTACCGTCCTTTATGCTATTGCTACAAATACTACAGAGCGAAAAAGCATTTAATTTAGTTTTCTGCTATTGATTGTGCTATTGCTTGGTTAAAGTTCGTAGCAATAGCAATATCAGCGCAATATTTCGATTGTTCTTTCTTCAAACACTGGTCTTGATTGACATGTATGTCTACGCCCATCTCAATCCGAATATATGTATCTGATACAATATAGAAATAACAGTAAAGTTCCAGTCATGTATTTATTGAAAATAAAAATATGTTTAGTAAAAGCAAAAAACAATATGCCAATTAAAATTCAAATCCAATATAATAATAGGTTTAAAGCTTACAAAAACATAATATTTCAAGCTGAAAAAAAAAAGAAAACAGAAGTCAACAAATTAACTACGGTCTAAAAGTGTATTAAATTTTTGATGTTCCTCAGATAAGCGTTTTTGTTTTGTCTAATCTCCAAATTTTCTATTATTATTGTTAGGTCTAACCACACTCATGTGGCTTAGCCAATATTCAGTGGCTTTTTCGTTGAGCTTCTCTATACTTCACCAAATGAATTTCAAGCGCATTTAGAAAATTCGTAATGAAATGTGCAGTTGGCAATAAATTTGTTGGCTTACAGTGCATACATATTTCGAGAATCTGGCATATATATTTAAATTCTTCTATTGAGCAAAAAGAAAATTGTATGTCCACAAATTGCTTTTCCCGAAAAGGCACTAGCTGCACTGAGAAAAAAATATTGCACTGAGAATTATACAGTTTTTTTTTATTGTTATTTAGAAATGATTTCTAAATAAAGGAAATCATATTTCTTTAAATTAGAAAAGATGGCTCTAAATCGAAAATGATTTAATTTCTTTTATGTTTAGAAAAATTTTCTATTATTAAGAAATGGATTTCTAAGAAGTAAAAGAGATAATTTCTGTAATTAAAAAAATAATAATGAAATTTGCTCTCAAGAGTTTTGAAATCTTAAAATACTAATTTTTAATAATAATATAAGTTACAAAAAAGCTAAAATGAGAAAATATAAAAAATGTTCTGAATAAATTATATAACTTTTCCTAAATTTTAGAAAACCCCACTCTGATTTTTAAGAAATTGAAAACCGGTTTTTTAGAAAACCATGAGATTCCTTTCTGAATAATAAGATGTATGACGAATTTCTAAAATTCAGACGGATTATTTTTTTTTGAGTGTAGAGAGTGTACGATAGAGAGAGAGAGAGAGAGAGAGAGAGAGAGAGAGAGAGAGAGAGAGAAAGAGAGAGGAGAGAGAGAGAGAGAGAGAGCACTGCTGCACTACCTTCAAATGCAAAGGACAGAGGGAAAATTCGCCGAATAACAACTTCAAGCAGACAAAAAATATTCAAATGAAATTGGCTTGCGCTGCAGCGAAAAGAAACGGATAAAGGGGGAAACGGGTGAGTGTCTGTGTGGGGGAAGGTGGGGGGGGGGGCAACAGCTGCCACTTATGCACATTTGCATTAAAATGGCTGTGGCATTTACATAGAAAGGCTTTGGCGCATTTGCTGCACTTACCTTGACTCGAACTGTGAATAACTTTCGGGAAAGAAAGTCGCAGACAGTCTATCACTCCCTATTTTCCGTATTTCCCCTTTTCTTTTGCCCCTGAGTCACTCGAATTGATTTTTCACTATTTTCACCAGTTTCAGCAGTTTCTGTGTGTCCAGGCAATGTTTGACTTGCATTTCCATGCGATCCACCTCCTGCTGCCTTTCATTCCGCTTGTCATAAACAATGTTGTTTTGCATCAAGCACAATGTACAAGCAAAAAGTTATAGGTGCAAGTTTATGTCAATTGCTCGACTAATGTATACCCTGCTTAACTAAATTCTACGTTCAGAAAAACATTGCCCTCTTTTTTGTGGCAAGAATTCCTCAACTTATTGTTCAGAAAGTAAATTTCTAAAACTTAAGTTTGTGGATTTCTTAAAACAGGTTTTATCAATTTAATGGCGAAGTTTTTCTAAATTTTAGAAGATATAAGTATACTTTCCAGTGTATTTGCCTTCTAATTTAAAATGTATACATAGTTTAACCAAATCTTGTAAATATTTCTTATATATTTAATATAAACTAAAATATTCCATTTTGGGTTGAATTTAATTTATTTTCTATTTACATTAAATAATTAAATAAATAATCTTAATAAACTCTTTCAACTTTACGGTGATTTTAACCCAAGAAACTGCAAAATTTCCACTTTTTAGAAATGCGTTTCTTATTTATTTATTATTAGAAAGCATATTATTTATTTATTTAGAAAGCATATTTTCGGAAATGTCGAATTAGGGCAAAGTGATTTCTTATATTTAGAAATTATTTCTGAAAACAAGAAAAGCTTTCTAATTTGTAGGTCGAATTATTTTCTGAGTGTATATGCACTCGCATTGCCTACTGCACAGAGTATCTATGACAACAAGAACTAACTCGAGGTTTATCACGCACTCGTTTGCAATTTCAAATTGGGTAATAAATTCTTTAACTCTGCATGGCTGTATTCTCTCTCTCTCTCTCTCTCTCTCTCTCTCTCTCTCTCTCTCATCTCTTGTGTGTGTGTTTGTGCGCGCTTCACTTTACCATTCATGAGCGTGTGAAATTGCTTTGTTCTCGCCCAAGTTTTATGGGATATTCTGTTGTTACTCTGCTCCCTTCGACCATTGTGCTTGTAGATTTACTGCCCCACACTGAAGATTACGACATAAATGCGCTTTTTGACTAACAAATTTTGCTCTAGAGCAGAGAGGCATGGATTGCTGAATGGCCACGAAATTTGCAAAAATAATATTGTTGCACTAACTAATTAAAATGGTTACTTTCGAAATTGCAGTGCAGAGTTCTTGTCTTTTATTGTCTTTATTATCTGTTTGTAAGTAATGAAATATTATGTCAGAAAATCTATCTATCGAAATATGCAATAAGTAAAATAAGTAAATCTAAGGAAATGACTCTTGGAATAAAGGATTTAGGTTAAGAGTTTCCTCAATACATCTAAGCTACAGGTAACACTTTTTCGTTACTCTCTTTTTTAAACGATACAACATATAAAATACATTAAAAAAATGATTAATTGGGTAACGAATTCAGATTAACGCTGTCCTGATTAGTTCAAATTAGTAGAATATTCTATTTTTCAGTCGAGCGCTTCTTGTTACAGCGAAACAACTTAAAATTTCATATTGGCAAATGTGATTTAGCTGCAAGAAAACTCTAATTGAATGAAGTTAAACTAATGTTGCAAATTTGCTTAATTAAAACCATGCCAATTGGCATACAATGTGCACTCAGACACTGGCAGTAAATATATTCTGTGTCCTGACTGTCAGCAAACAAAACGTCGTTGTAAATTTGCATAACTTGGACAGCTGGCAATGTGGCTGCCACAAATATGGCTAAATTATGCGAAGACTGCTGCACAATATAATAAGCAATAAAAAACTGATCAAATTTGGACGTGCAAAACAGGGAATGGGCAACAGTGCAATTGGCACGCATCGATGCATTTCAATGTGGTCAGGCAGGCAAGCAGAAACAGCCAAGCAAATTGGTCTTCTATATATTGGCCATAATTGTGGTCAATAGACACACACGCACACTCGCACATTCTCTTAAATATGCGCATAGGCAAATGAAGCTGTTTAACACTAGCAAATTGCAACAAGGCGAACAAAAACACGAAATGCCTGTTTGCTTTTTGCTCGAATCTCCGTTAATTAAAAAACGTGTTCTCAATACTCTCACACCGAAAGGTAAATGAGCATATTGTTCTGAGCAATAACTCTCGGCTTACTTTAAGTATATATACTTTTTTTATAATACTTTTTAATCACTCTCTATTTTATATAAGAATATATAATACAAATTATAATAATAATACTAAAAATAATAATGAAAATAATTAAAATAATATTAACATTAATAATAATAATATAGATTAAAATAATAAGATTAAAACAAAAATATTAATTGTAATA